ATACGGAAAGGAAAGCGACCATATTTAAATTAATTAATTTTGTACGTTTTTGACCCCTTCCAACATATTCCTTTCATTTTAAATCGAATCCAACGGCTATAAGTTCATCAAGCGTTTTGATCTTAAAAGATCAGGGAATCCAGTACGTTGATTTCGTGGTAGGCAACTCAAACACGGACACTTCCGATGTGGGACCCCACCGATAAATACACCAATTCCAAAAAAAAAAAGAGGTCTCTACTTGGAGAGGCAGCCACGAGTAGGACAGGTGGGGTCCACATGGTGTTTCATGAGTGGTCAATATCACTTCAATAGATCCACGTCATTTCCGCGGATTTTATTATTACTTTATCTCAACTTAATTTAATATTTATTACCAATTTTATCCCCAACATTTTTTGTTTTCCTAAAGTGACCTCACCGGGGAATGTTACGTATATAATGTCAGCAAGACAGTAAACACTGGGAAACGTTGTCGGTTTCGGAATTTATTTATTAATTTTCTATTTTAAAAAAACCCTAATTAATTAATTAATTAATTCAACAATATTCAGGATATTCACTGTAACCGTTGGGGAAAATTTCATCGGAAAATACCTTATTTTGCTTTAAAATAGCTTCATAATTTTTCAGTCAACATTTTTGTTGATATAATTAGAATAAATTAATGCAACAAACATGTGCCAAAAAGAATAATACTAAAACAAATTAAATATTAATATTAATATTAATAAATAGCATAAAATTTCCATGTTACCGACAGCTGGGTATCATGTCGTGAAGGGCTCGCAGTGTTAATACTTTCATCCGACTATATAAACCACCGGATTTGCTTTTTCTCTTTTACCACAACAAGAGAGAAACCCACATCGGATTCATCCATGAGAACTCGAACAGGCCTCTGTTACCCTCGACTTGAAACCACCCTCTGCTCCGACACCCGTCATCGCAAAAGAACTCACGATGTCGCCGCCGACCGCCGCCCCCATTTTTGTCGGAAACGAACCAAGCTCTCTCCACAAATCACTCCGCCACCGCCTTCCGATTTGTTTGATTCCTTGCCTGACGACCTCGTCATTTCGATTCTCTCTAAACTCAGCTCCGCCGCCTCTTCCCCCTCCGATTTCATCAACATCTTGCTAACGTACGCCTTTTATCATTTTTTTTTTTTTTTTTTTTTAAATTTTATTGGTTCAATCTATTTTTAGGTTTAATTTTGGTAATGGGTTTAATTTAAAATTTGTTATTATTTGTTGCAGATGCAAAAGATTAAATAATTTAGGACTTATTCCCATAGTTTTATCCAAAGCTTCCCAGAAGACGTTTGCAATTAAGGCACGGAATTGGTCTGAATCCGCTCATCGGTTTCTCAAGCGGTGTTCCGACGCCGAAAATATTGATGCCAGTTATACCCTCGGCATGGTTAGTTATATATATATATATATATTAATTTAAATTTATTCTAATTTCATTTTGTAAGCTATGAAAATTCCGTTTATTTTCCGATTTTAAAAATTAATTCGAAATTGGGGAATGGCCGTACAGATTCGTTTCTACTGTTTGCAAAACAGAGGAAGTGGAGCTTCGCTGATGGCTAAAGCGGCGATTTGTTCCCACGCGCCGGCGCTTTACTCACTCGCTGTCATTCAGTTCAACGGCAGCGGCGGTTCCAAAAGCGATAAGGATCTCCGTGCCGGAGTTGCTTTATGCGCACGTGCTGCTTTTCTCGGTCACATCGACGCGCTGAGAGAACTCGGGCATTGTCTTCAAGACGGTTACGGCGTTCGTCAGAATATAACAGAGGGTCGTCGGTTTCTTGTCCAGGCCAACGCGCGTGAACTCGCCGCCGTGCTCTCGTCGGAGGCGGGTTCTTCGGTTATTGCATCACGGTGTTGTGTTACGTGGAACCCTCACGTTCCACACCGGCACGTAACGGGCTCGGGATGTCCGTTGTTAAGCGATTTCGGTTGTAATATCCCGGCGCCGGAAGCGCATCCGGTGAGTCGGTTTATGGCGGAGTGGTTTGGGGCACGTGGGGAGTCGCCGGGGATTGGGCTGAGGATGTGTTCGCACGTGGGATGTGGACGGCCGGAAACGAGACAGCATGAGTTCCGTCGATGTTCTGTTTGTGGCTCTGTAAATTACTGCTCACGTGCGTGTCAGGCGCTGGATTGGAAACTCCGCCATAAGATGGATTGTGCGCCGGTTGAACGTTGGGTTGATGATAACGGCGACGGTGGGGCCGATGATATCATGGCCGAAAGTTGAAAAAAAAAATAATAATTCGAAAATTAAAAAGGGGAATTGACAGTAGCCGGTTGCCGGTTGTAAACGATGGCGGCTTCTCGTGAAATTTAGTCGAGGAGACGTAAAAGTAAAGCGAGAGAATAAAAAAATAAAAAAAAATAAAAAATAAAAAAGAAAAGCGTGGAGGCCGTTTTTTGTCGGAGAAATTAATTATCTGATGTAACCATGGCCAGCGAATAGGCGCGGCGGAGATTTGTTTGTCCTTTTCTGTACAGGGCGGCGGGCGGCGGCGGCGGTTTTTTTTTAGGGAAGTTCTGGAGCCTAATTTTTGTACCATACAGCGACTAGAATTTTACAATCCTTCCCTTTTTTTTCAGTTATTAATATTATAAATTAAAAAAGTTTTTTTTTCTATATTTTTTATTCTGTTGCATTTTTTTTTGGTAATTATAAAAATTACAAAAATAAAAACATGGAGAAAAATTATTATTCGTGGGAACTTAATTCTTGCAAATTTTTCGGGGATATCGTGTCCCGATCCATGCGAAGAAAAAAAAAACAAAACGAGGGGATGGGGAAGGTCTCTCCATCCCGCCCCTCGTATTCCCTATTCCGATTCGTGCAAAAAAAAAAAAAAAAAAAAAAAAAAAAAAAAAAAAAAAAAAAAAAGGAATTTGCGAGGATGGTGAAGGTCTCCCGACCTCGGGAATTCTCTATTATGATCTTTGAATTTTTTTTTTTGAAGAATTAGCGGGGACGAGGAAGGTCTTCCTGTCCTTAGAGATTCCTATTCCGGTCTCTGCAAGAAAAAAAAAATTTGCAGGGATGGGGAAGGTCTGTCTGTCAACATACAATTTCGTTGACGTTTTTAGTCAAACTTTATTAGGTCGAGAGATTAATCTATACAAAGTAGCATTTAAAAATTTATAATGTGGAGGGATTTATGGATGAATAATGCAATGAGGGCATTTTGGGGATTGGATATTGGTGTTTGAAATAAATAAATATATTTAATGGGGAGATTAAAAGGGAAGGGCATTGGCAAATTTTGTAGACCAAATTCTTTAATTCATATCCATTCATTTGCAAATTGCTTTGCTTTTTATTTGTTGGGGCCATTCTTCATTGACTTCACCTTTACTAAATATTCGGGTCGATAATTTCATCTCTCACGTTCTTTTTCTGATTGATTACTTACGTTCTATAAAATTTGGTGATTTATATTTCTATACGTTCGTGCTGCAGAGCACAACTTTATAGAAGGCCTTGCGGTCTAACAAAAATGCATCGAGAAGATGAAGTTTACGATGGGGTTGAAAGCCATTGTAGCCTATTCGTAATAAAAATGCATGATTCTTGTCCTAATAGGTTCGTATCGAAGTGTTCCACAAGTTTTTTGATGGGGTTGAAAGCCATTGTAGCCTTGAACACGAGTTGGAGAACGTTGAAGGTTTGCTGGCAAATAAATGTGTAAAGGTTAAAGATGACTGGTCTAACCTAGTTTGGTTGGATCGGATGGTTCAATCCAGTCGAACTGGTTTGTATGCACAAGCTTAGGTGGCCTTTTATAAACTTTTATTTGCATATTTTAGCTTTGATAATGTGAGCTAGATTCTTTATCGTATTTAAATAGAATAATATATTGTTTATTGTACGCATAAATAGAATAATGATGTAACGACCCAGATCCACCGCTAGCAGATATTGTCCTCTTTGGGCTTTCCCTAGCGGTGGATCTGGGTCGTTACAAATGAAATGTATTAGATACCTGAATAGTCAAAATGTTACGGCCTAAGCGATGAGTATTTACTCTTGTTTTACGCGGATTAAGGGCTCAAATGTTACGGTCATGCTTGTTTAGGGCATGTTGTCCGTTGCTACATACCCAAGCCACGTCAAATCTTTTATTTGATTTCATGTTGTATTGCCTTACTATTGTATTTTTTTGTTTGTATGACTATTCGATGAAATCTATGTCTAGATCTGCCAGACCTTAATCACTTCGAAATGTACTGTAGGGCAATGCGACTAGTCGACAACCCCTTCCACCAATATCTTGTACGACCGTTCGGAGTAATCATGTCTAGGCCTTCCAGACCTAAATTGCCTCGAAATGTACTCTAGGGGGATGCAATTATTCGTCGATTTTTCCTACCCCAAGTTATATAATATTTAAGTCGTGGTGATTCTTTCTTTGCTTATAGCCATGTACAGTTGCTTTCAATCTTTCTTTCAAAAATCTCTCTGTCCCATTTTCTAAAACCTTCTTCTCAAAACGAGCTCAGAGGCTAGAACATACTTTGCTCAACCGTAGGCGACGTGAGTCTAAATTGACTTGACTCACTCGGTATTGGGAATGAATGTCTCACAACGGCAAAAGTCCGCTTACAATAAAACTGCGATTGTGACACCTAGGTTACGCGTGAAACACTCCATCTAAAGAGTACGGCCACAAAACGAAACTGAAAGGAATTGACGGAGGCTTGCACAACCAGTAGAGCATGTGGTTTAATTCGATACAATTATAAATAGACACACTTGTACATTTATAAGATAAAAGGTATGGGCCGTAATGGGCCGTAAGATCCAACCGTGTCGGTACCCAATTAGTTGAACGGGCCTGGCACTGGTTTCAGGAATTTGAGGCCGGCACTAGACCGAGACCGACTGTAATTGGGCCTATGGGCCTTAAGTACATTGAACATGAGCCCTTGTATGGCCCATTCTTAAATGAAATTAATGGGGATTGTACGGGTTCTGCTCCTTCTTCGAGTCCATTTCTGCGAGTGGTGAACTGTTGGTTGACGTCTACTGTGGAAGAAATCTCAATTCCTCGATCGATTTTGAAGGTAAGCGTTCGATTAATTTTGGATTCTATTTCGCAACATATTATCGCTGCTTTAATTAGTTTTTGTTCGGTTGAATTTGGAAATCTGCTCGAGCATTTTTGCAATTTTTTCGTCTTTGGTTAACCTAGGGCTTTCACTTGAGAAATTTTAGATCTGGTTTGTTGTTTCGGTAATCTCTGGAACGATGAAAGAAATTTAGAGTGGATTCCGATGATCCTGATAGTTTTGGTTAAATTATGTTTCTGATTCACCTAAATCTATTTTCATTATAGAACTATGTTGTTATATTTTTTGTGTGGAAATCGGCATCTTAAGTGAATTTCGTGTTGGATGATTTGTTTATTCGGCATTTTTCCCGTTAATTTATCAGGAAGAAATTAGAAATGAAGTTCATCATGGAGTTTGCCGAGAATTTGGTATTAAGAATTATGGAGGATCCAAAAGAGAGGGATCGCAAATTCCGAGAGCGCCTGTATGCGGTAAAGGACCGATGCCAAAAGACGAAGGAGATGTGGAGCTATCCTCTCCGTCCTTACGGATTTTGGACGTTTGACCGCCACAATGCTCAGCTGCATTGGGATGCACAAATTAGCCAGGTTCCTGGTAGAAGGGATCCTTATGATGACATGCTACAGGACATCCACAATAACTCCAAGTGATTTATGAAGGTTCTGTTTCTAAGCTTTTTCCTGTCCACTTTGATTTCATTATAGCACTGATTGGAACTTGAAACCTTCATTATTTTTCAGTTAACTTTCATAGTCTTAATTCTTATAAATGGGAATGGGTTTGGAGAGAGATGGCTCTTAGATAGACCCCTTTGATTTTGTTCTTGAAATACTATGCAGAATACTCGCAAGAGCTCTGAAATTGCAGGTGGAAACTGGGAAGCTCTCGAGCAATTGTTTGAACGTATGTTTTTTGTTGTTTTAATTTCACGTTGTGTTGTTGAACACCTTGTGGTTTGTTGTTGTTTAATAAACGGGCTGGTTTGCGTTTTGAGCTCATTGTTTTTTCTGACAAAGAGTAACGTAAACAGCCTCGATTGATTAGTAAGAACAAATTAAAATAAAGGTTTTTGTTTAGTTGAGGTTAACTGTATTGTTTGTTCATAAAAGTTCCTAAATCTACTTTTTTTTAACTGTTTTTTTTGTTTGTTCATGTATTGTTAACTGTTTTTTTTTTCTCAATTTTTTCCCAATTTAGATTCTTGTCTTTTTCTATTATTTTGTTTTTCTTGCCTTTTGTTTTGTTGTCTTTTTTTTAATATGATTTTTTTTTTATACTGTTGTTCTTTGATTAGTTATATTTTCTTCTTTTATGGCATATAACCTTTTTTCTGTTTGATTTACTTTATTTGTAGATCCCTTTTGGTTATTTGTTTTTTATTTTATTTTTTTAAAAATTTTAATCTTTATTTATCGATCCTTTTCAAATGGTTTATAAATGGGGTGGTAGAAGAAATAGAAGAAAAATAAGAGAGAATCAAATATAATTTTAATTAGTTAGTTTCATGTTAAATAATTTTACTTAATAAAAACAAACAACAATTAATTCCATTAATTTTAATAATTATTAAAAGATAATGAATGTATTTAAATTGTTGGAAGTCATTCTAGGAAATAAATAGGTAAGTTATGTATTTGTATAAAATTATGATAGCATTTTTATGCTACACGTTCTTGGGTATCTTATTTTCGAGTATCTTGGTTTATGGTTTTGTTTAAGATATATAAAATTAAGATGTTTGTCAAATGTTATATAAGGTTTTATTTAGTTTTGTTTAAGATACCTAAAATTAAGATGTTTGATAATCTAATGGCTCAGATTTTGTTTTGGATGTTCAGAAATAAAATGCATTATTTTTTAAAAAAATATTGTTAAAGTCTTATTAATATTTTTAAATTAAAAAAAAAAATCATAAACACCTTTAAATTATATTTTTTTAATTAAAAAATACTTTTAAAATTAAAAAATATCTTTCTATAAAAAATACTCATTTTATACTTTCAAAACCAATATATAAAAGTTTGAAGATAATATATACATGTGCTTAAAACGAGAGTTTCAATTGGTTTCAATTTAAATCCACATGTACCGTGGTACCACCCTTTTTCCCTTTTAGAAAATAGTAAGATATTGGAAAGAGAAAAAAACTTCAAAACGAAAGCAACTATTTAGAACTGCATTAGAACGGAGCGAAAAAGCAGAGGACATTAGATGAACGAAAATTGGTGAGTGAAACCAATTTTGGGCACCCACCTAACGCAAACATAACTACAAATTTTAAAATTATGAGCGTTCTTAAAACTTTTTGAAGCTTTGAAAAGAATAAAAGATAGTAATAAGGCTTTTTTTTAGAGTTACTTACCATTTGTAAAAAAAAAACCGTTTACCTTCAAAACTATGATATTTTTATTTTTTAAAAAAAATTTAAAATAACTATTGAAACTTATTTATTTTAGTTAAAAGACAAAGTTTAAATAACCCGAAAAAAGTGGAAGGAGAGATAATAAAAAAAAAAAAAAAATTAAAAAAAGTAGGGTGAGGTTTTCTAAAATCATCCAAGAAAAAGATTCCATTTTGATAGGTTTAAAAAGCTCTACGAACCCACCATTCAAATGCATCACATTCTAGAACTTTCAGTTACTTGTTCACATAACATCATTCAGACATTGCCATATCAACATCAAGAGCCATTCACACTTGTCTACAGCCTTCCAAGGCTTCAAACTTCTTGAAATTTCCATAGCTGCTGTTCATATCATTAACACATTGTGCTCCTACATCATGAACCATACACAATCTAGCAACCCAGATGATGAAGAAACTACAAACCATTTTCTAATTTGAACCTGAATCCAATTCGGATTCTGAACTCACTTTGTTCTCAGGTGGAGGAGGAGGAGCTTGTTCAGAAGTAGGTGGTGGAGGAGGAGGAGCTTGTTCAGAAGTAGGTGGTGGAGGAGGAGGAGGTGTTTCTTCCTTGTTCTTCGCTTCCCCCTCCTTAAATGCCTTAGCTATCTCACTCACAGGAACTTCAGGAAGATAGGCAAACACGTAGTACCCCTTCTGCCTCATCTCTTTCACCGTGCAGTTGTACTTCTCCAACCACTGTTCTGCCGATGGCACTGCCTTCTCTGCGAACTTGTGGAACGATGGAACCCGGTTCAGCCCTGCCCAAATCTTCACTCCTTGGTTTAGAACCAGCTGCTTGTACTCCTGAGCTGCATACTGAAATGCTGCGCGTGGTCCACTAGTTTGAAACTGGTTCACAAGTTCTTGCCCTGTTCGAGCAGCCTTTTGGACTAAATGCTGCGTAATTTGAACGGCTTGTTTTGCCAATGGAGGAGCAGATTTATCAAACTCGTATGTTGCTTTGTCAACCTGCAACGAATTCACAAACAGAATTGAAAAACGTTCGTTTCAGACACGAATCGTTATCCCAAAGAACACTGATTAGTACTGTAGACTCTAAAAGGCTCCTTGAACAATTGTGAACCAATTCAGCATTTCACTTTCACTAATCCAGTTCCGTTGGGAAGGAAGGGAAGCGACTAGCAACGTCGGCCAAGGAAAAGAAAAAGGATATTCTTAGTGGTTGAAAAACTAAACTGATCGTTGAAATTCAGATTTCATCCGTATCAACTAGGTGAGAACATATACAAATTTCATCCCTCATAAACAATGTTTTAGTTCCATTTCAGATGAAAATAATTGAATTGAAACTAAATTTTCAAAATCTCATCATAATAGAAGGCTGGAAAACTAAATTCATCTTACTAATCTAGATTGCAAGACCGCCATCAAATCAGTAACCAGTCAGATCGAAGTCGATCGAATCATAAAAACAAACTAAAAACTAATGTAAATTGATAGAAAGCCATCTATAGGCGTAAAGACAAGTCCAATCGATTAGAAAAAGTGAAGAATACCTTCTCGTCGAGAAAAAGAAGAACATCATCAGGCGCGATTCGGAGCTTTTCATAAGCAGGCGCTACGACTGTGTTCACAGCACTCTCCACATTCTCAACCGCCGATCTCAAAGGTCCGGAGTTCTGCTTCGCGTAATCATACAGATTCGTAACACACGCAATCGTCTGAATCACAGCGATCCTCACAAAACCTAGATGCTTCAACTCCAGATTTCTGCTATCGTTCTCCATCTATAAATTCCAATCAATTAAAATCACAACTTCTTCGAAAAACACAAAAAAACAAATGAACAACAAAAATTTCTTTAAAAAACCTTACAATGTAGTAGGTTTGCGTCTCCAGTACTTCCTTCACCGCTCCAAAAGATATCGAAAGATCAAAACAGCTTTCCAATTTATACGAAGGCGAATAGCGGATCCGTTCGTTGGATTTTGGTTGGGCGCTCATCCAACGGTCAACGTGAGAATACGCCAAATTTGAGCAGAATCTCAATAATAATGGGTGAAAGGATTTGATAAGAGTGGGCCACGCCGTAGGGATGGGAGCACGTAATTTTACTGTGCACTCCATATTCCAGTGTGCGCTAGATGTTTCTAGACGGACACGTGGCAATAGATGACATGCGCAGCCCACACCTGTAACGTTTTAACTGAAACCCATGTTTATAATCCTATTAAATACCGGTTATTGTCATTTATTAATAATACACAATTATTTATTAACGAATATTATAAATAATAAAACTTTAATTTTAAATTTAGTACATAGTTTATTTATTATAAATATAAATGTTATGTTCATCTATTTAATTAAAATTTTTAGCTTAATTTGCATGTATATTTTGAAAAGTTATATTCTCAATAATTAAAAATTATTTTTAAGTGGAGAATAAATTATAAAAGAATAAAATAAATATATGTGTCGTAAACATAAATCAACCCATCTAATTTTATTCACAAAAATTTCATTTATTTAAATCCAACCGTAATATAATTACTAATTCTAATATTTAAAATTAAAAGAGCTAAATTCTAATATAGTTGGACCCATCATACTGATCTGGGCTTGGGCCCATTTACGTTTTGGACCGTTTCTGTTAGATACAATGATGAAAAGCCCATCATACTGATGTCCGTTCCATGAAGCCCACTGAAAAATATGTTTTTGTGAAGCTTGGGCCAGGCCCATTAATACTGTGAACTACTTTAAGGAGCTAAAAGCCCATCATACTGACGTCCGTTCCTTGAGGCCCACTTAAAACAAGTGAAGTGGGCCAGGTCCATTAATACTCTGAACTATTGTAAGAATATAAAAGCCCATCTTACTGACCGTTTTATTGAAGTCCAATATTTGTCCAATAGCTTCTAGGATTCTAGGATTCCTAGGAGTGTATATAGTCCGGGTTGGGTTGGGTTGGACGGACTTTTTTGACCCAATCTAAAAGTTTGAGTTGGTTAGATTGGTAACCCAACTCAACCCAACCTAACCCAACCCTCTATTTTCGGGTTGGGTTTGGGTTGGATTGTCAATTTTTTTTTTTTAATTTTATTTATCCATAATTTATAATTATTCGATACAAATAAAATAGATTAAAAATTCACAAACACACGCAAGTTAATCCATAATTATTCACAAAAAAAAAAAAAAAAAATCAATAAAAACATATTAACATAGTTCAACATTGTCATAAAATTAAAGACGGCTAAATGCCAATATTTCTTGAAAATGGGTTAAAATACCATGGCAAACCTTGTATGAGGAAAAATTTCGAGGGTTTTTCCCGAAGATTCCTAATATATTTTATATATTTAAGTTTGGCTCTCGAGGGTTTTGCCCATGAACTCCAAAATTGAACCGATTCAGTTCGGGTTTAGAAAAATGAACTCAATCCTACCCGAAATGCTAATCCAATCCAACCCAACCCTATAGTTCGGGTTGGATTGATCCGAGTTGTCTGGTTGAATGTACACCCCTAACTTCTGGTTTATAGTATGTTCAAACAAACCTTTGCTTTGAGAATGGATGAAAATAATAATAATAATATAACATAATTATAAAAGAATATTTTTATAAGACTCTTTTGAGTAACGAATTAAGAATTAATATTTATACTAAAAATATATAATATCATTCAAATATCATGTTTTTGTCTTT